TGATAGAGGGGGAAGGAGATGGAGGGCAGGGAGGAAGCAATAAGGAAAGAAGAAGAGGGGGAGATGTACTCTGCATTTTCTTTTGCACCATTAGAGAGAAAGGTCTGAGCAATCCCCCTCTGGGCAGAGGGAGCATATACATCAATCTGCGGGGTTAATGCTGGGTTACAGGAAAGTATATAATCCACAGAATAGAGCCCCTGGATGCTATCGTGGCCTCATGGTGTTTTAGACTTTCAATCCCGACCCCCCACCCTCCCCTGCTTCTGTACCAAGAGTGAATATACATTTGTATGCTCAGGATATTAATGCACACATGACATGCACGCTCCACTGCATTGACACAACTACACCTATGGCTCTTTTCCACTAAATAAGGTCGTCGTGGTTTCTCCTTTTATTTCCTTTGTTGTCCACATTCTTTGGGGAACATTTTGTCCCTGCTCAGACGATGAGTTCCAGGTACTTTAAGAGGTGCTAACAGTACCGTCAATCAAGATGAGTCAACAAAATGTGTCATTACTTCAAGGAACAAGGACTACTATGAAAAAAACCCCAATAACTACCATTTACTACCACCTCTGCAATGACACACTTTGCCAGCTTGTATGTCCCCGTCCATAACATTCTCTGCACTCATATTTTAAGACCCATCGGCTATTGGTTTGACAACGGATACGTCTCTGGGGGTGAGGGGCTATACTTTTGGAGTTCCGTTGTAGCCAGCGGATATGCGGGCCAAGACTTCCTTTTCCATGCGCCACTCTTTATTAATGCTCCAATTAGCAGCTCGTGTTGGAGTTGAGAAATGACGTGTCCGACCGGATTGCTTCTCAAGTGGCTAGTTTTGAATAAAAAACATAATCATCGTCAGACTAGGTGGGTTCCCAGATTGCATTTCGGCTAATGTGTTCTGCCTCTCCTGCTCTCCGCACGGACTGTTTACCTGCATTCAACGAAAGCCTGATTCCGAATACTCGGAGTATAAACAGAAACCAGAATGCTTCCGATGTCAAAATCTTGTCCCATTGCCTACATATGAATAGGTTTGGTTAGGGTAAATCAAAACACAAGACCTCTCACTCAGGCGGAATTATCAGGCTAATTTAATCCCCATGGCAAGGACTTTCTCGCTATTGACAAGTACCATAAAATGTTTGCAATAGCAACTGTAGAAAATGCTAAGATATACCGTGCTCATGGATTTAGACCAGTGGTTTAACTGTCGACTGGATTTCAGTTTGAGGTGTCCTGAGCATTCACACCTGTCAGCCAGTCACAAACCCGTGTTCTCTATGGCCGCAGTTCTTGTAATGGCTCACTGGCACTTGTTACACACACACATGCCTGTAGGCTGATGTTGCACAGACACAGTGAGTAAGCAACCAAAGGTTTCAACAGACGGATGGTCAGCAAGGTATTAAACTGCTGTTAAAACACTCTCCAATGAGCTCAACACCGTCTGTGTGCAGTGAAGTAAAACCTTCACTGCAAGAGCAGCAATCAGGCAAATCAAAACAGTCCCACAATGTGTCTTGTGTGCCTCAACGGGACGTATGAATGTTCTCTACAAGGCGATTTAGAAAACTATGCCACCTGAGGACTTCATGCATTTGAATCAATCCAGTCATGAAAAGGAAAAGGCCGAGAGAAGAAAGGAGAGGACTGGAATGTAAAATTAAGCAGTACATAGAGAAGCACCTGGTTGAATAGGTGGGCAGGAAGAAGTACAGTACGCCAAACAAAAAGGCTGTGGTAAAAATAACTGTTGGATCAAAAGGAATGACCCTGAGCACCACGAGAAGAAAAAGACTGAAACACAAAGAAAAAGCACCGACTGAGAGAAAAGGCATTTTCGGATCACAGCAGCGTGGGTCGGCATCGCTTAGGATAATGAGCCAGAAAAAGCTATGGGAGATGTTTGGAGCGAGACAAGGATGAAGAGCAAGAAGGAGGAGGGGGAAAGATGGCTCTGCAAATGGCTCACAATGCAGTGACAGTTATCTGCTATCTCCTGGGGAAGGACAAAAGATGAAGAAGAGGGAGAAGGGAAAGGCAAAGGAAACGGAGAGGCATTTAGGGATGAAAAGAAGAAGATAAAGGTAGAGGGACAGTGAAAAATGAAATGTGGTAAGCAAAGGAAGTGATACATAAGAAGTACACATGCAAATAGTGGAACAAGTAAAGATTTGCAAAGTAAAATGTATCCAGAATAATTGATCATATTCCACAGCCAATGTCCCTAAACAAAACTGTCCCACACAGAGATCTTTGTCTTTTGGTTAATTTCTTCTTCAAATTAGATCCCAGCTAAGGGACTTCTTGTCACTTTTTACATATTTGTTTTGCCAAATATAAACAGACCCTCTTTAGCCACACGTCTCACGCCCGTCTGGTGGACCAGATGTACACCCACTTCAATCAAGACAGGTTGCCTACACAGGCCGCACAACTGCTCGCGCATCACTTTCGCTGTACATGCGTAACCACGTCCAAAAACATATTTTTAGTGTGTGTCAATACGGTGCCTGACACAGACAGAGGACTGAAGCTGCTGCAGCTACACCTCCTGTGAAGGTGGTGTGAGGTACAATGTGTGTGTCGAATATTACACTTGATGGAAACTTATGTGTAATTTTGCATACATCACTTGGTAAAAAACAAACAGATGAAGCACGAAGGACACAGGGGTTTCGAGCGTGGCGTCCCGTTGACCCAGTTGTCTAAGACACAAGCTACATGGCCATAACATCGTTGCTTTGTGTCGAGGTTTTAAAACTAAATTTAGTCACCTTCTCTTTCAATGCTTCCTCCCATTCTCTACTTTATAATATAATGCAAGGCTGTGGTTCATAATTGTTCAAGCAAAAAAACAGACACAGAGTGACAGGTGTTTATATGTGAAAACAAATGAGTTATTTTAAAAGACCATATTTGACGCTACGTCACTGAGCCACAGAACGTTACATCCAAAGCTTAAGCTACATTACAAGCGTACTTATATTAAGCCAAACCATGATGTTTTTTCTAACCCTACGTTTTGATGCGTAAAACTAACCGCCACCATTTCACAACGTTAACAATGCGTTACAACATTAACCTCCACCGTTTCACAATGTTGACCACGCGTGAAACTTTTGTGTCAAGACACTACACCAAAGGCTGCCCCGGCAGCTCCTGCCCAAGTGGCAAAATGTGATGGGTATGGATGAGATCACATCGGCCTCAGGATAAGATACCTAAATCCGCAGCTGTTTGCCTCCACGCGTCTTTATATTCAGTCGAGCAGCCTCACTTCCCATTAAGTCTGAACACACCTTAATGCTGTAATTAATGTTTCAATACTATCTTAGTTTGCATATTGGAAGAGGCGACATTCCTTCATACTTTCATACTTGCTTGTCAGGACGCACACTGTTATTTAGAACAACTGCTCTGATTGTCTTGTCCTGTAATGTGGGGTACCAAGGCTCTGTCTTAGCACCATTGCTTTTTTTTATTATTGTGCATGCTCCCAATTGGCGACTACCTAACTGTATATTTCCATTTTTATGTAGATGACACCAAGATTTATATTTCCATCCATTTCTTGCATTTTCTTACCATTCTACACTGCTGTTGAATATTTTTCCTTGTCCAATCCGAGAAGCAAAAACCTTTGAGATTATTAATCGGAGACTGAAAACTTACCAACTTTCCCTCTCCTATGATTGAATTGCATAATTGATAATCTGTTTTTTTGTTCCTCCTATAGTTTTTTTTGTAAATAATGTTAATGTACATAAGCAATACATTATCAATCATATTTGTTGATTGAACATGTATTTTTGTTGTATATATGTTTTATATTGTAATTATCTTCCCTTTTTAAAATGGTATTTGTTTCTTTTTTGTATACTGAGAGACTGATATGCCAATACAAAAAGGATACGGTGTATGTAGACTAACACTGGACAGGTACAGTGTGTCATCTGTGCATCTGCTAAAACTTTACCATCCATGCAGAACTCAAACCGGCACCTTGACACCCTAAAGTGTTTACTTATTCACCATCTCTGCTTCAGCATGCTGGCTTACACACACAGAGAGAGATGGGCAAGATATCAAAGATGAGATAGTCTAAGGGTCGCAGTTTTATGAGTTCAGGGTGTCATGTTTACATTTATCAACCAGTGTGGAAAACCTGATAGACTGAAATTAATGAATATGACCGACTAACCGATCCTCAAAATGCTCCAGGGGAGCTGCTCCATGGTCACAGTTTTGTGGTTGGCAGCTCCCAGGTGTGAATGTGTGTCTTTATATGAATGTTAAGCACAGGGGTGATGGAAAAAGAGTGTGTATGCTCAACAAAATCCTTCACCGAATGAATTATTCATGGTTCTATGAGTTCAAACCAGCCTTAGTGGTTCCCGAAGGCTGAAATGTTCATTACACCCAAAAATATTGAAATGATGGATGGCAAATAGAATATTATTCTGTTAGTCTAACCTATAACCTCCAGCGGTAGGGCTAACATTAATGTGTCCTGAGAGTGTTGCCATTGGGTCATTCAATCAGCATCGTTTATCTCCATGGGAGCATAAAAATAAACAAATTAATGGCAATCTGCTTATTAGATAAATAGATACCCTAGCAATTGCCTACGGCAGAAGACAGCTCATGAGGTGTCCAATAAAAAAGGGTTCATCCTCTGAGGAACATGGGGGTTTTCAGATAATTTCATACAGTGGGGTTCATCCTCAGCGAAGCATGACTATCAACAACTAATCCACAACTAGTTTCAATATATCCAGTCCTAATTTTTTTCAAGACACATTTTTGTAGTGTCAGTCCAGGTGAAAATTTGACCACTTTGATTTGGCACCATAATCTAAAAGAATTATCTTCAGAGGACCATGAATTAAGATGATAACATAGAAGACGTTGATGAAAACACACATTCTGCAAGAAATAAAGCTTATACAACATTCCGAAATCTTAAGTGCATAAAGACTCACGCTGTAGAGGATTTCCACCCAGCCCTCCATGGTGATACACTGGAACACAGTAAGCACGGCAAACAGGATGTTGTCAAAGTTGGTGATGCCAAAGTTGGGTCCAGGCCAGTACTCTTTGCACTGGGTCCCGTTGGGACACATCCTGGCCGGAGGCTCCAGACCACAAGGCCAGTCTGCTGCCATCTCACCTGACCGATAGAGAAATAAAGAGAGACATGGAATGAGTTTGGATATGCATATTTATGTTTTCTGGTGACTTTTACTTCAACTAAAGTGTCTATTTGATGGGCGGATGAATAAATAGATCTCAAAGTAACTGAAGTATTGAAAATATTAAAAAAAGTTGTTAACATGCTAACAGGTTGTATGTGGGTCAGGTCTGCAGCAGGGACAGCAAAGCAGCCAAAAGGTCCTTTTCCCCTGCCACTTTCTCCAGCTGCCTCACGCTGATCTGATGTGACCTCCTAACAGTCATCAGTCATGCTGGTAACACTTCCAAAGGGAAACACCCAAGGACATCCTACCAGGTGCCCCACCCACCTCAACTGGTTCCTCTCAGTGGAGACCATTGACCTCCCAACCATGTCATGCAGAGTGTGGCTGCAACCTCATTCTGTCAATCATTGCACAAAGCTTGTGTCCACGGGTGAAAGCCGGTACAAAGATGGACGGGTGAATTTCGAGCTTTGCTCTGTGGCTTGGCTCACTTTTCAGCTGCATGCTCCAACAGAGCGCTATTGTTATCGCAGCTGAGGCACCTAGCCAGCAGCCGATATCACAGCTTGTCTTCTCCACTCAGAACATCTGGAAGTTATCTATTTGTCAGATACCCCTTTTCCCCTACAGTTACTTCACGAAACATAAAAAAAACATGTGTTATTGATGGGTTCTCGTTTGATTTCAATTGTTCTCTGTTCACTGTACTACAAGACGGTACAACATACACAACTCAAGAATCACAATCACACTGTCACATCTGCAACATCAAAACCAATGAAATGTGCATGTTGGACAAGATAATTACATCCTAGTGCACATCTGGCCAGGCACCTTTGTTGCATGTCATTACGAGTCTCTTTCCCCTCAGTCCATGTCATCTTTCTACTGTCAGCTATCGAATAGAGGAAGAACACTGCAGGGGTGTGAGGGGCCGAGCTGGTAGGCATGAGGTGGATTTTTAAATATAAATATGAATATAAACATGAATAATATTCAATGTACAAAATATGTACCAAAGCTCTGAGCCCATAAAAGAAGTCAACTACTTTACTGAGCTAAGGATGATAAAAACATAATCGCTGATCAGATCATTTTTAAACAAAGGGGTAATCACATGATGATGTGATGTAAGCCAATTAAACAAGTAAAATGTTTGTATTTTGTCGCCTAAATTTGACTTGAAAACGTATCTGAAGACAAACTAAAGTGTGACTGTACCAAAAAATACTAACTAAATGTCTGCGCTACAAATACAAACTAATGTACTTCCAACAATACTAAATAAATGACTGTGATGAAACAAATATGTATCATCGTTTATCGGTTTACTCGCGTATGTGCATGAGGTCAAATTTCTAAAAAATAATTTGAGGAGAAAATGAACTATGAAGTGTAAAGTTTATAGAAGTGTGTGCAGAAGAGTTACGCAGCTGTGTGGCAGCAGGTGGGATCATGACAGGGAATAAGAAAATAAATCAAGGCTTCAATCTTCATGTCAACGCACTTGACAATCTTCAGGTTTTGCATGGAAAGGTTTTGTCAGTTTTGGCCAGTTCCTCCTATATTAAAAAAAACCCAGCAAGACAGGTCAGCCTCAGATTAGGACGTCTCATTGATACCCAGCAGGTCACAGTCGGCTCTAAATCATTTTTGTGACTTTTTTGTGTTTGCTCAAGATCTCTGTTGTACTCACACTTTATCTTTCATTCAAACCAGTGTAGCATACTTGTCGAACCTACTGGTGCACACTCTGCACCACAGCTGCATCTACAGCTGCCAGGACTCTGTGGACCACACTGGGCTAAAGGGTCTGAGTCAGACCAGGATGCTTATTGGTCTTTACATGCACACCTCAGTGTGAAGAATCTCATCCCGATGCTACTAACACAGATAGGTGTTTTCAGCCACTTTAACTTACAGGATATGACTGACTTATGTGCAAAAATGAACTTTGACATTTGATTAAGATGCGCTCTGCAGTGAATTTGTAAAAGATTTCAAGTTTTAGTCAGCTTAGTGTGGCTGTGGTTTAACTAAACAAGATGTGTCCCAACTTTGTGCGTGAGTTTCCAGGGATTACGGAGCGACAGAGGGATGAGGTACCAGAGTACATGGAGGGTGCTGAGAGTTTGTTTAAAGGATGTGCTGGCACACATGTCAGCAGATGGGGATCAGAGGAAAAGAATAAATGTGCTGAGTACAACAGATGCCTTGTGCGCCCAGAGTTTCATGAGGGATAGTGCCACGATCACAAGCCGTGCCAAGTTTTAACGATGATTCGTAGAGCCAGATTGCACAGCCAACATGCCTCTGGTGTCACTCCAGTGAAATGTGTCCCTTTCCTTCCTCCTGACAGGTGCTATGTCAGCCGGACTCAGTGTCCTCAGATATATATGTGAATATCTCAGGTCTCTACTTTCTTCTACTGGGTGCAGTTCCTAATGGAATACATTGAAAAAATAGTAAGGTTCTCTTATTTTTTTTGAAAAAACTATTTCTTTAATTGGTATTTATTCTAAAGGTTCTCCATATGATATTCAGAGCATCAATATAGCAGCAAACAACTATCTGCTAAGAAAAGATATCGCGGAGTAATGACTTCCTGAGCAGAAACTCAAAATAAATGTCATCTTGCGAAAGGTTTCGATCAAGGACATATTTCGTAGTGCCGCCATCAACTTTGAGGACAGATTTACAGAAATAGGCATAAAGATTTTAAAGAAGCGTGATGGGTATTAGTGCATAATTTCAAAGCAATGAGCTTTGCAAGTGGAAATAAGATGTTGGTGAGTTGAAAGGATCGTAGTTCAAATACTCATTGTTAATATAAATCTGCAGATGTGTTGGTGTCTTTCTGGAGTTTGCTTACAATCGAATTAATGTCACTATAGGGAACGTATCCAATTCAATCCTCCCGTCTGTCTATCTTTAACAAAACTAAATGAATGGCTCATGGCAAGGTCTTATCGTGTATCGAAAGGCAAAATCTCAGCGGAGAGAACTAAAGGGAGAAAGAAACAATGTTATACCGTGCAAACCCTGAGCTCATGTGAGTGTACAGCCAAGTAAAGGACGCAACACAAAAAAACAACATGCAAACATTCTCAAACATATGGCCCACAAAACTGTCTTTATCCAGCATTACCTGCTTATGACTCACTCATTCATTCATACACACACACACACACACACACACACACACACACACACACACACACACACACACACACACACACACACACACACACACACACACACACACACACACACACACACACACACACACAGAGTTGTGTTTTTAGGACTTGTCGGGGATATTACATATACTTACATTAATTTCCTGGAGATTTAACCTATCCCTAACCAGTTACGAGCCTAATCCTAATCTTAACTCTTAACCTAACTTTAAACCAAGTCTTCTCCCTGTAATGTAATGAAGTGTCTTTGTTATCAAAATGAGGTCCCCACAAGACATAATTTACAAGGTAACACACACACACACACACACACACACACACACACACACACACACACAGGCAGGCAGGCAGGCAGCCACACAGCCTTTATGTAGAAAGCTGCTACCAGTGCTGCTCATCTTAATCAAACCCTGCTGCGACTCTGCGACTGAAATAACTCAATAACACACATACTGTACATTAGCAGGCTGTCACAACCGCTCACACCACTACGAGCACCCTGACTGGGTTGAAACATGCACGCACACACAGAGAGGAATACACATATTTTACAGCTGGCCCAGCCGACAACCCTCGAGTCACGCCTTCACACTCTGACACGAGCAGTGAGGAAATAAAGCCTTCTTGTAATTTCCATCACTGCATTACACAATGGGTCATTTCAGCCGAGCAAGACTGATTGTGTTTTCTGGATTTACTATAATGCTGCATATAATAATAATAATAATAATACTATTACTACTAACACCGATAGTAACCTGGCTGTGATTGATCAGAAATGGGTTTTGTTGCTACGCTGACTCAAACACAGGGTAGACTTATCTTCCTCCCTCCCTTTCATTTTCACAGACACATTGACACCTTGATGAAATGTGGTGGAAAAAAAATCAAGGTGCAAAGGAGGTGAGTGACATGTTTCAAGTGTGACGGACTTGTGCTGAAGTTCACACTGTTTGTGCGATCTCATAGTTAGTTGGCGGTTTCCTTTTCAAATGTACAAAACAATACGAGCTTGATTCACAGTTTCTTCTCTATTATCACCAAGATGACTGAGTGACGTTTTGAGTAAGCCTGTTGTTGGCACGGCCCCTATAGTTTCCTGATGGTTTCATTGAATGGAATTAATTATAGGGAACAATTATAATTATAGGGAAAATGAATATGTGTTGCTACATTTTCAATTAATTCTTAGTTGTTGGTGCAGCTTTAACCTTTACTTTCACTGTTTTTAAGTGTAAGTATGTATGTATTTCTGTGTAGTTGTAAATTACAGGCAACAATACAATTTAACGAATATGGAGAATAAAGTTTTCCAAATGTAAAAGTTTGGATTTCAGAGAGTTATTTCTTTGAAAGACTCCGATCCATTTAAACCTACATAACTACTGATCTGTTATTATTCTACTTTTCTCATAAACCTGCAAAACTGAAAACTACAGCGTGGATTGGAAAATAGTAAAAAGAAATGTAAACATGGTTCATATTTAAGGAGTTAAAACGTATAAAACACTGTTGTTGAGACGCTGCTCCACTCCGACTCACACAGCCAGGAATACCATTAGGTATTACTGCAGCTCGGTACAGTAGCACGCACTCCTAATGTAGCAGAGAAAGCTAGTGAATTGTAACCTCATTAACTCCGAGGTAGAATTTGATCGGGAGGCTGAGTACATAAGCATCCCTATTGAGATACAGCAGAGGCGTTATCAATCAAACCCTGAAGACCATTTATCAAACTCAAGATGTGAAAAATCACACGTCAGAAATTCTGCTGTGCACTTGTTTGTTTACGTTGATTTCGGCACACTGCCTGCCAGCGCTGTGGATGTGCGGCTACGCATAAGCCACATACATACCAATCTTATGAATCATTTATGTACGCCTGCATACATATGCAATGTAATATAATGCTCTCATCCGTGACAAATGTTGGGAACACAGCTGAACGAAGTTTTTCCTGGCGTCAGCTCAGCCGATAGTCGGTGTTGTCGTACAAACAACGCGCACAGCCAAGCTGTTGCTCTCACCGGTCTCTATATTGAAGCAGGTGGTGTGGAATTTGCCGCAGTAAAACTCCACCCCGATGATGGCAAACATGACAATGGCGAAGAAAAGCAGCAGGCCGATCTGGAGCAGAGGAACCATGGCTTTCATTATGGACTTCAATACCACCTGGAGACCTGAGGGACAGGAAGAGATGGGGCAGAGTGTTAGCAGGGCTCTGTCTATTTCTGAGGATAATTAAGGCCACATCAAATCATTTTATCTGGCCCAAAAGAAATGCTTGCTTGTTGTTTACAATCATAATCATAATCATAATTTTGGAGAGTGGCCTGAAGGGAGGGGCTGTCAGTGTTGCCCAATTGGTGACTTTCTTTGTAGATTATTTTCAATAAAGTCTGTGGTGCACGTTTTTCATTTCAGCGTTCTATTGAAAACTTTCCAATTTAAAAGACATAATAAAAACTTAATAAGACAATCAAAGACTGTTTTTCTACATGTACGTATATCTGCACCTACATCTGTAGGGCAGAGAAGTAATGAATATATCAACACATCAAAGCAAAGAGCAAAAAGAGAAAGGTGGAAAAATACTATGGGTGGAGTCCTGTCCATTTATCTCAATGCTCAAATCAGAGCTGAGCAACAAAATAACCTTCCCGGAGTTTGTACAAGCCATTTTGTCCACAGTACAATTCTTGAAATGATATGATCTTCAAATGTTGAGGAACTTACTGGGGATTCCTGACACAAGTTTCAGGGGTCTCAGCACTCTCACTGCTCGCAGTGTTCGCAGGTCAAAGTCCGAACCCACTGTGGCCAGGATTCTGTACACACACACACACACACACACACACACACACACACACACACACACATCCAGTAAGCACAGTTAAAACTTCTGCAATATGATGCAATATTTCACTGTAACATTGATACACACAATCCTGTATAAAGTTGTACGTAACGTCATTTACAAAGATACAAAACAGAGAAAAGCATTTCAACACAAATACAAACCATCTTTCTGCCTCCTCACACACACAAACACACAAACAGCCTATAGGTTGATCACATCATATCTGCTTTTACCTACAAGTGGAGGAGCGACATTGTGTGGCGGGTGTGTGTGTGTGTGTGTGTGTGTGTGTGTGTGTGTGTGTGTGTGCACTAGCCACTGAGACACAGCTGGCAGCCCTCATTACAGGCTGTACACAGAGGGGGAGACTTAAGTGCTCCACTGAAACACACAGAAAAAAAAACACATGCTCTGGGCTAAGAAGAGAGGGAGAGGGGGGGGGGGGGGGGGGGTTAACAAGAAAGAGAGGAGGAGGGGTGACTGTATTCCTGCAGCCAGGAATAATAATAATTTGATCCTGATTCTAAGAGGGAGACATTCCTACATGCTCCCTACTTTACCAGCTTTCAAGGAAGCTAAAATATTCAAATTCTTGACTTGTAAACACATTTTATTTCCGTTCTATTTCTATTCAAATGTGACCAACAATGGTGGAGACAACATGATGGATGGAGAGAAGTCTGCCTCAGCTTGTTGAGGGAAATGACAGAGAACTGATTATCAAGACTGAATACCCATTTAGTTTCCCCTTCGCTGAAAAACACAGAGATACTTCATGATGCTTTTTTTTAAAAAGGCATTTGAGTATAAATCATATTGTTTATAACATCCCATATGGGTATGTTCTTAAACCTCTCAGTTAAGTACCTTCGGGAGCCCAAATCCTCAGGAGTACAATAGCTTTTATATAGCGGGTAGCAAACACTCACGACTGACTGAAAGAAATGCAGTACACACACACACACACACACACACACACACACACAAGAAAAAAAAAAGTAGAAAAACAAGAAAGGTCGCTTATCGCTCCCTGGGTACCAGTTGGCATGGTAACCGATAAAGCACATCTGTGCTTTATGGATATTATCATTATGGGTGAAATCAGTCTGCTGGGATGTAAGTGCCTGCTGTGTAATATAGAATATATTGTTTTATACATATTTCATGCACAGGCTTTGCAGTTGATCACATTCTCAGACAGTGACGGATTTCTAAATGCTGCTTTTCATAATTGTCTCATTAGAATACTTTTCCCACATGGAAATTGTAATTATTATTTATCGTACTGTTTTAAAATGTACAGCTCCGCGTAGGGATCCGAGATTTAGAAACCAGCAGTCAGAGGAAGGAACCGAAAAAAAGAGAGAGATCAGAGCTGAGGGATGACGTAAAGATGAAATATTGATGAGGACTGCAAAACAGCGTATGAAAAGTCTCAATACCGACGCATCAGCATGCACGCGCATACACGCATTCACTTTACTGGAAAGACTTAAATTACCATCCAAAAGCTCCCTTTGTCTCTGTCAATGGTGCTGAACATAAACCCACTGTATGTTGTTCTACACTGCACTAAAACCATCACACACAGTAGCTGCTGCAGGACTCTCCAAAGACCACGTTGTAGTCACAACAGATCCATAAACCTGTTCCAACTCAAAACACCACTGAGCTAAACATGTCACAGCTCAGTGTGTTTTGTATCAAGTTCCAGTTGAAATTCGGGCTGCACAAAAAGAAAATCTCCTTTTCTCTCTGTCAGTAATAAAATCCTCCAGATGTCACCTGTAGTAGTCGTGCACTGTCCAACGCGTCACAGAAGAAGTCCCCTCCTTCTCATGACATTCATCACACATCAAAGAGGACCCTGCCTCTTAACCAAGAATTAAAGACCATATAACTGAGGTAAAGAAACAACATGAAAGCAATTTACAGCAGTTGGGGACATTTCTAACAGCAGATACCACGACAATATTCATAAATTAAACCAATTAAGCTACAAGGCTACAATTTTCCCTTTGGCTCTAATGATACACAACATCTTTCTGCTGTCCGTCTCCATGGTGCTGAAACTTTCACATCAAGTCTCTCTCTTGGTCTTCTCACAACTGGCTTCTATCACTACTACTACTGCAGCTGTGCGCTGTGACTAATGCAAACACACACATCACTGTAGCGATCACGCAGTACTCACAACCACCTTGAATCACCGTGGAAATCAGCTCATGTACCAGGGATGCTCCACGTGCTTTACCTCGCAGGCCACTTTTGCACAATGACAGGAGGCCAGGGGCCAGTTCATAAACAAACATTAATAATATGTTGCAGTCTCAACAGCCCCACACAGGTCGGGTGTACCAACACATTCTCACTTAGCTTTCATAGCTGCTTTATATCATCTAAATCTTTCAGAAATACTACTGTACACTATCTTCTGATGGGAGTTAGTGTTTGTTCATCTGCCTTTAGTTCAAATACATTAAAAGACAATATTACTCTGGCAGTAAATAAAAACAAATGTACTATGTACAGTTGACATGGTTGTATTTCAAATGATTCACACCTTCTACTATAACATCTGAAATTTGAGTCAATGAAAAGAGGGTATACAAACCTGAATCATCGCTCTGTGCTGTTGTTATTTTATATCCTCTACCATCAATAACTCACTTAGGCCTGCTCCGTGCACAAATGTATGTGTGTCTGTGTGTGTGTGTGCATGTTTGCTTGTGAAGGGATGATTTGATGACTGTGGAGACAGACAGTCGGGCAGGGAGCAGGCTGAGCAAGAAGCCATGAGTTTTAATATCCCTTTATCATCACCGCAATATATCCATGTGGGCGCCAGACACCGGCACAGCAAATATGGAGGGTGATGCTATCGTCTCTCTCTCTCTCTCTCTCTCTCATACCACTTTCCTCCGTATCATCACACAAAAGGTACAACCATCAAAGCATATCTCAGCATGTAGCTTTCTGCTCATCTTCAGGGTCGGACCACAAAAACTAAAAAACAGACGATTAAATTCACAAAGACACATTTGTACACACTGATGGTTTCCACATTGGTGTACAAAGTCACACACGCACAATAAAGCACCCATTTCCTGTGTGGTTCACCAAGTATATATATATATATATCCTGATCCTGTGACTCAGTCTTTCCCGCTGAAATAAAAATAGAACTTGAACTAATTCAACCTTGAAGAAACAATGGCAGAACAAGACGGAAAAAACATTGATTCATGCTGCCCATCAAAATGTGTGGGAACGAACATACACTTCACTACATTCAGTTGCCTATTCGTGTTCTTCGTGCAAAAAAAATGTGACACTTACCTCCTCCCGGTTCGATGGATGACTGAACACAACGGTTCACATGCTCACCAGGAGACAATGTTCAAACACAAGCACTACTTGTCCAATATGAGACTTTTAGAATGCTGATGTTGCCACGGGATGTGAAAATAGGCAACTGTTTACCAACAAGGCAAAGACGGGGCTGTTTGATTGGCATTCGGGCTTAATTTGAAGCGTTAAAAAAATATCAAGTGAACTTTGAAAGAATAGTTTGACATTTTGGGAAATGCTCTTCATTGCTTTCTTGCTTCGAGATGAGAAGGTTGATACCACGATAAGCCAGTTAGCTTAGCTTAGCATGAAGACTACAAGCAGAGTCTACAGCTAGCCTGGCTCTGTCCAAAGGTTAAAACAAAGATCTGCCAGCACCTCTGAAGCTCACCAACCAAAAAAAGCCAAAGTCATGTCCCAAAATGTTTAACTGCTCCTTTAAAGACAGTGACAGCAAAAATGAAGAAAAAAAAACCAACAGAGGTGGAAGGATACAGCTGAGAAAAACAGAGTAAAAGGCGCCCTTCTCGTGAGGCAGAGTGATGTAGTTTAATTACTGCGACCCTGCCCAGCTGGGGGCCGGCGGCTGTGATTGAGTTCCTCACACATCGCAGAAAGAGGAGACGGAGGCTCCCACAGGACAGACGGAGAACACAGTGCTGGAATAAAAAACTGCTGCCTGTCTGTCTGACAGACTGTATGTCTGTCTCTCTGCATAGTGAATATATTAATTCAATACCCGCTCGTCTAGCTGGTGCTGTTGTATAACTTATGTCTACTTTCCTGTCTGTCGTTTCAGCTCAGGGGTGAGAATCATCCCTGAAGCTGTACTGATAGAACACAGTGGGAGGGAGAGCCACAGGAGTTGAATTTTTAACTGAGGAAAAAAGAAACTTTGGGATTTTGGATGTACATATCAGGATAGCATGTCAGGACTCATTCGTGACGTTTAACCGTCTCAACAGTACGGTACAGTAAGCAGCACATTAGGGACATCACTTTGAACGGCACTGATTGCATCCTGCTGTTCTGGTAACTAAGTGCAGGAGAGAAACATGTCTGTCTACGCGATGACTTGTCAAACTGCATATTTTTTGCTCGTCTGTCTTTCTTTTTGACTGTAAAAATATCCGTCTCTGTCTGTTTGATTACCATCACTGTGATGTTGAATGTTATTGCTCTGCTCGAAACCCAAAGGATGATTTTTAGCAGTAAGGCACATGGTTGGCTGTTGGTTGGCGAACGATTCCAACTGATTTTGATACAACTCCGTCCATATTGTCAAGTAGCACAACCGTGCCAACATTTCCTCTTTACCAATTAGGTCCATGACCTGACATTTTGAAAACAACGAGGAAGAGTTCAACGACATTTGCTGTGGATGGATTAGAGCCGGCTGATCTGCCAATAGATAGCATTAGATGATTTTGCTACACAATATATAAGGCATCTATCCCTTTAATAGCTCTGCTTGTTTTCGGCCATTACTGGTGGCAGAATAAGTGAGCAGGACCACTTCACCGCAATATCAGAAACACAGGATTTTTACCTGAATGTGGCAGAGTGATTTTCCAGATATTTAATTCACGAGATCACATTTAAACATTCACATCTGGT